AATGGACTTTAATGAAGGCAAAACACCATGTTGATAGATCTGGTTGCCATGGCGACATTTACATCTTCACCTGTGAAGATACATAATTGGGCATGTGCGCTGGAGATATCACGTGATTGAAACAAGAGAAACAGCAGTTTCCATATCTGTATAACAGAATATCTCATAATATATTACTTTGGCCGCTTTCTACTCGGAGAGAAAAATTGTATTTTTCGTAAGCGGACATAATTTGTCAACAATGGGGATTTTCTTGATAATTTACATCGTGGTCATGTTTATAAACCATTCCACTCCTAAAACTTGCCTTTCTGCACGTCATGATAATTTCAGCTTTAGCTTATTAAACAAGTTTCAGATCACGCGTGTCTGGGAATATCAAATATCTCTGGGGAACTGTTATGCGTCAAATGTTCCTAACACCAACTAGGCACTTGTACTTCAAGCTTATTATATGAAGAAAAAAAATTGTTCTGATTGACCTCATTTGTATCTGCGAAAGGTCATCAGTCAAGCGAACGACCCAACACAACCGATAACAATAATTTATTTGAAGAGTTAACTCAAGCTTAAGAAGATGTGATTTAACACAAGAAAATTAAGAAAATGCCAGACAAGCCCCTGAGTGACGCAAGCTCACAACGCTATTGGTACAACTAGCTAGAAGATAAATTTCTCTTCCAAATTCTTTTCATAGTTGAAACAAGTCAATTTATGCTCGAGGAGACGATTTGCTGAAAATCGTCTTCAAAGCTTTTAAGAGTCGTAAGCTTTCAAATATTAATGTTTTAATTAGCTTGAAATAAGTGCGACCTTGACAATTTTGTCGTTTGTTTTCAAGAGGTATTTTAAAAAAGTCCGTTCAAAGGTTATGTTAGAAAATGAAATGTACACAAATTAAAAACAAATCGGGCGTTTTACAAATGAAAATCAACTATGACAGACCTATTTTTTTTACATGATAGTTCAAAAAGGTCAGTTTTAGCTTCTTAAAAAAGCTCCAGAAACGACTCATCGCTAGAGATCGTGTTTATAAGTAATTATCTTATCTCTTGTAAAGTTCTCTAACTGGTTCCACTCACTGAAGATGACGAGCGTAAATTTTGGTTCTAATGGGTTTGCTAAGTAACTGAGTAGATAAGCACTCTCTAGGTTTCAGGTACCTGTTGGTATTAGCATTCAAAGAGTCGCGATAGAGAAAATTACGTTTATCAACACTTTGCCACGATGGACAGCGCAAAAAAATGAATTATGGTGTTCTAAATTGTATCCTGTCTTTTAAAAGCTTATCTTAGTGAACTTAACCACGCAAAAGACATTAATAATTGATCGGTTGACTCCCTGATTTACGTCCGAGATGAAGCTACCCACTTAAAATGCGTGACATCTTTTTATGAGGAGATAGCTCACTGAAGAGAATTCCTCTTACAAATGAACCAACCTTGACAGTTAGCAGAAAAAGTTTACCAAGCTTTCGTAGCTAAGAGAGTTTAAAAAAATTGGCTTCATAATTTTGCAGTACCCTTCCACCAAGCTTAATTCTATGCGATAAAACAGTGCCAACTAGCGTGGACTGTATTCGTAGCTGTTTGGGGAAGGATGACCAATCACAATTTTTGGTAGATTTTTCTGCTCTGAGATATGGGTTACGAACCCTCTTCTTTTTCTAAGGAATGGGTTATACTCGCTTTTACTTTGCACAAACCAATGGCAGGTTCCCCTAACCTTTCAACATATCACTTGTTAAAATCCTTACCCTTTCAAATACCTCTGCTCTAAACATTCAGTGGGAGCATTCCGTATGGCAAAGAATGGGAACTACCCTCCGGGGGAAGGGGTTAGTTGAGTCATCTTTAAGACTCCTAAAATTACAGGTACTGATCAGGTAGCCATAATGGACAACGGAGTAAACGAGCAATTATTTGCCTACTTGTTCTTCGCTGCAATGCACTAAAAATTTTGAAGCTTATTTTTAGTCCATTTAACAACCTAATAGACATTCATAATTAATTGGGTGAGTCAATTAAAGTTAGACCAGAGTAGATGTCATTAACCACAAGAACGCCATAACAGGTCAGTCAGCTCGCCGAGAAGGGAACATTTCAGTCGCAAGAGAACAGACCTTGACAACAATGAAGATTGTTTTGATTTTCTGTCTCGTTTTTTGGATGATGTGTTCAGTTGATGCAAAACACCACAGTAAGTTGTTTTTAACGAAAGTCTGAACTTGTGGCGAAAAATATTATCTATTTTAACTCAATTTACAGTCTTTTCAGTAATCTTCTCAAAAGGCGATCTTTTTTTTAGGAGGTTGTCAGCGTTTCTCTAAATTCATCTTGCAAATTATCCTCTAAAATTGTCTGTTTTGTGTTTTCGCTTTTTGCGGATGTGAGAATCACGGTTGTAACGTACCGTAGAGACAAATAATACGCGATCTTATTCTGAGATCAATCACCCAAGAAATAAAAAATAGTAATTATTTTTAAGAGGTCTCTTTAGAGGTTGAAATGATATCACAGACGTGTAAATAGACGTGTTATGTTGATTAAATGACGGGTTTTTTTTTCTTTGAGAAGCATATCGTAACCTGAAGCCTCCGGTGACTACACTACGGCTGTAAAACGACTTTTTCATAGGCAGAGTTATCTTTATAGGCAAATTTCCCTCGAGTTGGTTTTGGGTAATTTCTACAACGCAGATTTTTGAAAAATAATATCCTTGTCTTAACATCAGTGACACATTATTTTCAGTTTTCATCATTCACCACGATCTTTGTTCCTTAACCCTTTTACGCCCAAGAGTGACTAACATCTAATTTCTCCTCACAATATCTCCCCTGAATCACATATGAAGGTCACAAGAATAAGGAAATGATCACCAACTAAAAGAAACTCTTGATCGTTAAACAAATTCTCCTTGTAAGCATCTTAAGAATGTATGATGAACAGTAATGAGAATATGCATTCTGATATTAGGGTGTAAAATGTTAATGAACGTTTCTTGCAAAATATTCAATATCAATATACTATGACACAAAAATATGGTTACAGATACTTTTAATGAGTGTTAGAGCAAACGACCTGGTTTTTTTTGCGCTGAGCGGGTTGTGCGTGTGCTCTTTGGCAGTTAAAGTCGGCACAAACAACCTAATCTTAGAATTTAGACGATGGTTTTTTGGTGAAAAAGGTTAAGTGTATCTTTATGGTGATTTATCTAGAGAGTGTGGTTTATCTAGTTGCTTCGAGTGCTTTAACTGAATGATCGAGAGCTCGAACTGGTGTTCAAGTTGGTGAATTTAGGCATGTTTTTAAACGATTAGGCCGTTCACTTGGCAGAACCTCTTCACATCCAGAAACTCTTTGTCGGTACTTCCTTACAATCTCTGAAAATAATAATAATAATAATAATTATAATAATAATGATAATAATAATAAAATGCTAAGATCTGGACTAAACTGCTCAGGATGAGTACCTCACTAAGAAATGTTAGACTCTAAATTGAAACTACTGACTGTTTGTACAAATAACAGTAATTCTCCAAAATGATTTAACGTAACTCATATGTTGTGTTTCTTTACAGAATCAAAGTCTCATGGCAGATTAGGACATCACAAATCCAGTTTAGAGGAAAAACCCTTGAAAAAAGGTGAATACGTGATGAGAAGCTAGAACTGAACTGGATGCCTAATTGTGCCGTCCGTAGGAGGATCCTTGGGGGCGACTCGTTACTGATCGTTGGCTTGTAACAAACAAACAAGCTCTTGAGTTTCCCACTCGGCAGGTTCTCTGATCGCGAGCTTTAAATTATGTGCAGGTGGCAGATGAAGCCGAGGGAAAAACATTCAAGTGTGTCTTGAGGCGGGTCATTAGGTGAACTTTATCCTGGCACAACTAAAATCCCCACCCTCCCCTCCCCAGGCGATTAATAATGACTAGCCCCCACACTACTTTTGCTTTCCGAATTTTCTATTTCGCCAGTCGAACTAGCAATAAAAATAAGCGATAAAAATAAAGAAATTATTGTACGTGGAATGAGAGAGATGGTAAGTTTTGAGCTCTGTAAAGAAATTTAAAAAGATGTTTTTCGTCTTGTCTCGAGCGTGGGAGTCCTCATGAGGAATCGAACCTCAGACCATTGGATTCCGCGCTCCGATGCTCTACCACTGAGCCAAAGAGACTCTACTCTCTATTTATACACATGACGCCATCGACATTGCTGATCCTAGCGGTATGCAGGACGCTTGTCATATGAACTTCGTAATAGACCTCGCTCACCGTAGAGTCTCTGTGGCTCAGCGATAGAGCAAGCCTTGAGGTTCGATTCCTCATTCCCACCCTCGTGACATGACGAAAAAATATCTTTCTCTAAAGAAATTATTTCATGAACGTTTAACATGCCTCCTCAGTCAGTGGCGAAGCAGGCGGGTTTCGAGTTTGCAAGCGATTAGTGCGTGGGAGTGTTTGCGAGGAATCCACAAAGGTTCTCGTAAAATAGTGAGAGAGCTTTAAAAGCTCCCTCACGCTCGCGTAGCTCAACGAGTCGAATCTCGCGGACTACACCGCTCGTGACGAGGCGCTAACAAGAACTTGTTCGCACACTAATGCCTGCCTATCTCGCAAACTAATTCTTAAGCTTGGAGGTCCGACCAGAACTGGCCTGGGTTTGAGTCTTCACGGGAATTCAGTTTGTTTTTCATTACAATCTCGAGACCAATGTTTATAACCTTTCTCTACGTTAGCGTTTCCTGGCAAACTATTTGTATTTGTTGTTATCTTAGATCAACCAGCCAGCCGTCACGGTATTTTCGATAGTGGAGAATCTGGGCAAAGCAGCGAGTCGGGCGAGTCTGGCAATGGGAAAGCTGCAGACAGTGGCGATTCTGGCGAGAGCCCGTCGACTGCTGAGAGCGGGGACAGTGGTGACAGCGGTGACTCTGGCGATAGCGGTGACTCTGGCGATAGTGGGGACCAAACCAATTCAAAATAAAATGAAGAAAATAGTTTTTTTTAGATGCACCATCGATTTGATTCAAAGAGTGTGACTTTAAACATCTTCAACTGGCCTGAAGACCAATAAACGCTTGCACAAACGGCAAATCATATGGTTCAGTAATGTTCATTTCCACAAACCAGATACTTTTCTCTTCCTTACAATAACATGAAGAAACAAACACGCTTTTTAAATTTCTTTGTCAAAATTAGCGAGAGGTAAAAAAATTACTCAGAGCAGATTATCATAGTTGGAATTGAACCGCGGCACATGGTGTCCTCTCTCTCTATTACACCACAAAGCCGCTGGCCGCTAAATTGTGAATTGTCAGATCATATGGAAGACGTAAGTTGAGAACATACTCTTAACCTTAACATAACTGCAAGTCACTTCTTTGTCTTCAGCCCCCCTCCCTTTTCCCCCTTCCCTCCCCCTCCTCAAAAAAAGAAGTCGATTCACTAATGCGAAAAGCAGAGCCCGATTACACGTGATCTCAGTAACCGAGATGTAGCTCTTCGTCTTGACCACTTCAGCCTGCTTTTGCAGTGAAACTTAAAATACTGTTTCTTGTTCAATCTGCTAACCGAGATGAGTTTTCTCACATGAACAGAAATCGGGCTGAAATCTCAACCAGCCGAATAGGCTGAAATTATTCATATAACCAGAGAAAAGAAAACTTCGCAAACTCCATATAACCCAAGTGAAGGGGCCTGATCACATCATCAACAATGTTTGTCACAAAGTGTTTCGAGAACGTTTACTAAATTACGTTTCTTTATTCAGATCTTTACAAAATTATTCAATGTATGGAGGAGAAAATGTACGTCAATAACCTGCCGCAACTTTAGCCAATTCCCGAGTAAAATGTGAGAATTTTCGTATACCTTCTTAAGTAATTTTTTAAAGTTATTTCAGTACAACTCCAAAAACGAAGCTGTATTTCATTCCACCTTCCAGCTCCAAATAGCGAGCTATTGTTCAAACATAATACAACCCATGTTTATTTCCACTGTCTTATCTGCATTCAAACTTGAACGATCTTCAGTCTGTCACGGAAATAGATCAGCAGGCATCAAGTCTCTTAGCAACAACTCTACCGAAAATCGCAGGCTCAATGAGTCGTTCACGTTGGTTTACAGACATGAATGAGCAACGTTAGCCGCTTCACAACTCTTGATTGCGGGGTGTTGAGCTGAGTGGATCAGTACCTGCCAATACGTCGTCTATCTCGTCTTCGTCAACTTTAGGAGCAAACAGCTCTATATCAATAGGATTACGGACGCCTACAGGGATAAAAATACTCAAGTCAAGCTAGGAACACCAGTTTGGCTTAGACCACACAGCAAGGAGGAGTAATTTGTACGCAGCTCTTTACTGAGCCTATCACGAACCGGATTTCTTTTCGCCATCCGGGATACCATACTACGCCTGCGTCAACTAGTTAAGTCCAAACCTCGTTCCCAGGGTCCCTCTTTTTCCCACCTCTTCAGCGAGTTAGAGGAAGAAGGTCAAATGAGGGCGTCTCTCTCTCACCCAAAGGGAGTGGAAACAAGAGAATCCTTGTACTAAAAGTTGGATAGGCCTTGCTTGATACAATTTTCAGTTTGCCTTAAACACGCAAGGTCAAAAGATTATAAAATTCTCTTAGCAAGATCCAATTATTAATTCTCCATACCGATTTTACATTTCTCTGTGAATAAGACAGGAGAATTTTGTCTTATTTCAAGAAGACACCCGTTGCTGATAGGCTTGTCTCTTCTCATTTACCTGTTTCCAGGATAAAATATTTGAATCGCAAGGAGAATTTGCGGCTTATTCACCTTAAGGAGCTGCAGGATTTTTACATGTAGCTGTACTTCAACGTAAGAATGTTTTTTTTTCAATATATATAGCAGAACAAGGAAGAACACAGATATTATTTTATGCTTACGGAGTGCTTTTTCTATCAGAGTCCTGTGCTGTTTTTCTTCCCGCTTGAATTTGGCCTGAAAAGAGACGTTAGAACTTTTATAGGGAAAAAAAAAACAGACAGAAAGGAATTGGGGAATGGGAGCGGGGTGAACAAAGGAGAACTAGGAAGAACAAAGGTTCAAGGGAGAGGTGAAGAGGCCAAGGCAGGTATGAAGGAGTGAAAAGGGGAAGGGAGGGTAGAGTGGAAGGAGGAGGCGATGAAAGGGGAAATGGGAAGAGTGGATGGAGGGGGGACGGAGGCTGGAAGAGAGGTTAAAGGGGAAAGAAGGTGGAGACGAAAGTGATGGAGAAAGTGGAATAACAAAAGGATGGCGTGGAAAAGAGAAAGGAAGGGATGAAGAAGTGGAAAGAAGAGAGGGATGAGATTGAAGGAAAAGGAGGAAAGAGAAGAAAAAGGAAAGAAATCTGGCCAACAGAAGATGTACATAAAATTCATGGTGAGGGCAGGAAACTGGTGTCAAGAGAAAGAAATCCCTTTTCAGTTCAAACCAACAACAGCCACAAACCTTAAGCTCCCTTCTTGTCCTGTTTGGGAATATCGGTGTCATGAGACTGAAATCAGTTCCAACTTGACTGAGAGCTTTGTAAAACGTTTGAGTCTCTGAGAAAGTGAATCATCAATGTAAGTGGCATTTCTTGAATCTCATTTCTCTCAAATCAAAAAGAATTAAAGTATTAACTGAATATTCAGTGCACTATGGTTTTTGGTTGCATGTGATTTTTCAGAGATGGGCAAACGGCTCCTCTCAAATAATATATTTTTTGTTCCATTCACATAAAGTACATCGGAAGGGCAAAGTCCTTCGATTATTAAATCGAATTATTCCTTTCAAATTTCGAAGCCGTCGGTAAGTATTGTGTTCTTTCTCTGTCAAAGAATGTAACATACCTGCCAGTGACCACCTTTCTACTTTTCTATGCTTTAAGTAACCACTAAAAGTGACGGCGTCAGCGTCTTCATAGACGATTTCACTGCAGTGAAATAAAGGTAGAGATCCAAGTCAGATTGTCGTAAATCGCAGGGAAAAGAAAGATTTTCGAACGTGCAAACAAAAAAAAACACACACACACACACATCATCATCATCTACTAACGTACACTTAAAGAGGCTTTTTCGCTTTGGAAAAATTGATTTCCAAGTCTCTCTACTGATTTTTAATTTCTTTTTTGTTGCCAGCTGGGAGAATGTATTGATATCTCAGGGCGATATGCCTATTTTTTGTTTCTATACTTACCTTGTAGGTTTACGCTCAAGTCGCCTGGAAGTCATCACGCCCGAAACCTGAGTCATATCGCGACATGACTTCGGGCGAAATGACTTCCGAGTGACCAGACCGGTTACCTGCTGGACAGTTCATTGTTCATAGGAATCGACATAAACAACAATGACAGTTTCGAGTACATGAAACTCAAGTTCTTTGAAATATTTTCACGCCTTACCTGTTTTCTAAGGTATTTTCTGGCGATTTGGGAATCAAGAGGCTGCAAAAAGAAACAAAAAATCAAATGGAGGAAGAATAAGAACATCCACTGCTGGCCAATAATTCCATGAGATTATAAAATAAGTTTAAAAAAAATACGTCTTTGAAACCTTTTTAATCCAAGAAGTGACGAACACCAGATTGAATAGCGATAGATCATCAAGAAAAGTTTTGAAAATTTGGAGGGATAATAACTATCGTAGAAGGTTACACAGTCTTGAATCTAAAATGGGCTTGTTCATAGTACACTCAACGGTACAATCAGAGATGTACAGTTGCAGCTTCGTTTACTGCCAGCTGGACTTGTCATGTAACATGTGCCGGTCTCCCTTAGACGATGATTTCTAGGAAGAAGACTAACTGTACCGTTGATGTGATCAGAGCGACAGACATACCTTTCTTCATCCAATATAATGGTGCCATCAGCAGCCAGCTTCACGCGTGGGGCAACAGCTGCCCCATCTGTGTCATCTGCGTCAACAACTGGCTCTTGGCTCTCTAAGGAAGTGTTTCTTCCAGAGGCTGCCCCATCCTCTGACTCTTTGTTTCTAACAAGAAATATCGTACCACTCAAATGAGAAAACTTCGAGGACCAAGTCTATTTTCGAGACGTTCGAGACGTTCAGGAGATTATCGAAGGCTTTGAAGAAATTTTCGCGCGATCAACTTTTTAGGCGACTAAAGCTTTTTGACCGTTTGCTGTCGAGTAAGTAGAAAATAGTGTAACACACTGTGATTTTTAAATCCCTTTGAGCCTAATTTGGTGACACAATTTTCTAAATGCAACAACGTTTTTTCGTTTCAAAACCTGTCCAGTATGACTATCACTGTAATCAATACTCCTATTGAAGTCTCATTTGCCACTCCTTCAGAAATTGTAACTTTTCTTAAAAAAAAATTTTAATCATGACAATAATGATGATAGGGAAGAAGGATCTCGGAGGAAAAGGGAGAAAAGACTAGGTAAACAACAAGTAATTCCTCTTTCAACACTAGAAATAAAAGAAAGACGAAATACTACTTGAAATTCAACTAGCTGGCAACCATTTGGCTTCCCAACACTTTCTATTTCTCTCCATACTTCTTCTTTAACCCTTTACACCCCAACATCAGTATGCATATTCTCCATATAGTTCTCTAAGCATTTCCTAAGGTGCTGACAAGGAGAATTTGTATAACAATCAAGAGCTTCTTTAGTTGGTGATCAGTTCTTTTATTCTCCTAACCTTAATGCTTGATCCAGGGGTGATATGGTAAGGAGAAATATTAGATGCCGGTCACTTTTAGGGAATAAAGGGTTAAGAATTTGAGATGCTACACTTAGCCTGTGTATGTAACAGCTCTGATCTTTTTTTTTTTTTAAATTTTTAATTTTTACTTTTAATTTTAATCTTAATTTTTAGATATGAATTTTAACTTGTACTTTTATATATTTGTGTTTTATTATTGATGTATTCTTTTAATCTACAAAATTTTTGGTCTTGAATATTCAGTTGTAAAGCGCCATGAGCATACAGATATGGCACTATAGAAATCCTTGCCATTATTTATTTATTTTTATTATTATTATTATTATTATTATTAATTTGTACACAACCTGTGGCCTTTTTACTCACAAACTTACTGTGAAATATTTAAGTCTTGTCCTTTCAGGTTTTTGCTTTTGTTCTTGTCATCTGCTTTTCTTTTTCTCCCAGTCAAACTTGAACTGCAACCGGTGTAAAACATTTTGTTTACATCACCAATTATTTGTATCATTTTTAAGGCTAAAATATCTATATGCACTGTTCCAGGCCTCTTGAAAGGTATACCAGAATAAAGGGGGGGGAGGGTAATTTTCTATAGAGACTGTGTTGCTGCAATGCTGGAAGGTACAGCAAGATAATTTGGTTTTAGCTACTAAATTGGCCATTGTAAAGAGTTTCCACAGTTGATGCTTTGAGCACAAGCCCTTTGTCAAAGAGAAGGGATGACACTCATTATGTCGGTATTAGAATCTCTAGATAACTAATAAAGAAGGTTGATTTTGCGGAAAAAAAAACAAAACAAAACATAGAGCACATAAACCTGCCTAGAATGATGGTTATGCAAAATATTCTTCATACTGTTCTCTATTCATTTCCTAAGGTGCTGACAAGGTGAATTTTTTTAACAATATACAGCTTCCTAAGTTGGTGATCTTCTCGTTTATTCTTGTGACCTTTTTGTTTGATTCAGGGGTGTTATTGTAAGGAGAAATAAGATGCCAGTCACTCTTACACACCAAAGGGTCAATAATGGCTCAGCTCTCAGCTCCAGAATATGATTAAACTTGTAACTCTCCTCTTAATTTACCCTGTTCCATAATGAATTAAACACTAAATTGTCAGAGCTTAAATTACAAAAAAAAAAGTCATACATAGAAAGGAAAACTGATATCTTAAATCCTAGGAGCTAATTGATAAAAGCTTACCTCATAGGGTTGGTCTTGGGGTTGAAGTAGATCAAATGCTGCATGGTCATGTGACTGGGATCTGATGGTTCCTTCAGTTTATGGGGTCTGCCACCTCTCTTTCTTTTAAGACCCTATAGGGAACAAATGCAAAGTGATCAGTCAACCATTCACAGGAAAGAAGGCACTTGGGCTGCAAAGTGGGACGAACAAGGCACCCCACAGCCTTATGCCATTTTAATATAACATAAAAAAGATTAAAATGAAACAGGAGGTAAATTTTGAGTTGGCTCATCTATGTGTCATATTGAGAGATGCCATTCAATGGTAACAATTGTGGGAAAAAGAAAAAATATGAGTACCTAGATTCTTACAGTATGCCAGACACTTGTCGTATAGGAACCTAGTGTACAGGCTAACTCACCAACAAGTTCTCTGTAGCCCAAAGTTTGCCATTATTTATAACCCTTTGACTCCCAAGAGTGACTGGCAAATAATTTCTCATAACAGTAACACTCCTGAATCAAACACTAAGGTCATGAGAATACATGAAATGATCACCAACTAAAGAAGCTCTCGATTGTTCAAAACATTCTCCTTGTCAGCACCTTGAAATGTATAGAGAGTAGTAAGGAGAAAATAAATTCTGGTAATGAGGTGTAAAGGGTTACAAAAGGAGAAACATAAGATCAGTGTACTGTATACCTTTTTTCTACTTTCTTCATCCTCCTCCTCCTCATCTTTGTCGTGGATCTCTGGTACTGTAACAGGTGAGGTTCCATAGTCAACATTTTGGTCTTCCTCTGATAATGTCCGCAATCTCTTGCCTCTACTCCCACTGCAACTTACAGCACTTTGTTCCTGCAATATCAAAGAAAAGTTTCTTAAGTTTAAAGGTTACAAATGTTTTGGTTGACTCGTTATGCACTACATATGAAGTCTAAATTTATTCATCCTGTTAGTAATAAGTGGAAAGCCAAGTTTACAAGCTTTTGCTTCCTGTGTTTTTTTAAAAGTTCCCTTTCAGTTAATTCATCTTCACACTAATAATTGTGGTTACTTGTATAATTATTCTTCAGTTGGTGGTAAATAAAAATCTCAAAGTCAGTGACCCAAGTGCAAAGCACAAAGGGCATAAATTTGAGTAGAAAAACCAGATTCCTTAACTTCCAGTACCAACAGAGAAAACAAGGTTTGTAAGATTTTTAATATATCTCAGAGTTAAAAAACATCAACATGTATGTCTCACCAATTTGTGTAAGAGAGCTTTTGCATAAAAACCCTACAACAGTCAATTAAATAATGTTACTTTTTGGCCCCTGAAAAAAAAAATTGCCATGGCTTTCAAAAAGTTTGAAAATAGAAGGCAATTACAAAATGGTAAGTGGTCAAGTTACTATTACCCAATTAGGTCCATCAGATTTCATGCAAAACTGGAAAATACTCAGTTAAAAAAAACCCACACAATCCTCAAGGTTTGCTTTGACCTTGGGAAAATTTTAAACATGCAATCCATTTACAAATTAGAACCTGTCACTGGTAAATTACGCATTCAATTCCACTCAAAGCTGGGAAATGGCTGCTGTACAAATTTTTGATAGTGTTTCCATGATGGTACAATTTGGTGAAAGTAGTACATACAGCTGGGAGACTAGAGAGCAGTTTAAGCTGGTTCTTATTGAAAGCTCTGAATCTGCACTTGTGATTGGTCACCTTGAGTTGACCTTCAAACTTACATTTTTTTATCCTGTAAGAGAAGTTTTCATTGAAATAAAAAAATGTCCATAATTTCTTCACTTACAGATATAAGTCCCTCATCTCTGTGAGCTGAATTTATTTCTTCTTGCCTGACTTCATGAAAATCAGGATTTTTCTCTACATTTTCTTTTGATACAGAAGAACGTCTCCTCCTTGCAGCTGACCCAAGATTAGGTAAGACCCGTTTGCGACGTAGTAATGAAGGTGTTGTCCCACCATCGGAAGGTTGTAGCACTGCAGTATCAGAATTCGTGTTCCTGTTCTGTATTTGCGATAGTTTTACCACTGTTTCCTGCGCACCAGGTTGGGTTCTTTGTTCAATGTTTGTAAGAGAGGCACTTATCTCTGCAGGGTTTCTTGTTGATGTTACTGCCTGATTTCCCTCTTGACTACTAGGAGTACTGGTACCATCAGCATCCTCTCCATCAAATATCAATCTCCTTGACAATGGATCTTCTTTATCACCCAACTGGCTTTGTGAAACTGGTGTAATCTCCTCCTTTGACTTTCCATCCAACTCATTTTTTCCAGCATCTGCAGATGTCTTGTTCTTTGTTGCCGCATTTGGACGAGAACGAGCCACAGAAGCAACAGTAGGTTTGATACGTGATCTTCGCTGGGATCCAGTAGTGGCAGTGGAAGATGACAACGATGTCTTTGATGCTGCTGATTCATCATCCCTTTGTTTTGTAGATGAATTTGCTTCCAACAATTCTGAGGATTCATTGTTTAAGCAGAGAAAACACAAAATAGTCTTGAATTTAATGTAACTAGAGCATGGTGTGGCAATAGACTGGAATGAGGTAGCCACTATTTTTTGTTGTGACAGAGGGAGGAAGGTGGAGGGGGTACAAGATCTGAAATCAAACATCTCCATTTTTTAGATGTCCAATAGTTGACTCATATGCGACACTGAACAATACTTTCAAGTCGAAACCAATAAAAGTTGTGAAAAATGTTTATTTTATAGTTTTGTAAGTATGAGATTTATGCCACAAACTAGTAAAAAGAGGGAAATAAACTATAACTTCAAAGATATGCCTTAAAAACATCTGAATACCGGTCAAAATGTTACGTGTTTAGTAACCAGCTCCCCTTCAGAAATTTCTCTGAAATTCCTCAGAAATTCGAATTCAATTTGTTGACGTGCTTTTAGAACATAATTTTTTATAAATATTGAGCAGTGCTGGGTTTGCCAAAAATGGAATTCCTCATCGAAAAACGAATTTTAAAGTAGAATGTACACACTGCGAATCGATTTGCCCCACGACTCATGATGATCAAAAGGGTACATATAACTGGGTAACTTTTATAAAACTATCAACATTTTTCTAAAACCGAAACATAAACGTTGTCAAGAGGAAACTATCACAGGCTAACATACCTCCAGCAGGCTTCCTTGCTGACTCTTCTTGCGGTGTATTTATGTTGTTAACATTGCCCTCAGAACTTGCCGGCGCCGAGGAACTACTTTGTCGGACAGTTGGCCGAGGAGTCGATAAAACAGGTTTAAAACGGTTTCTCATATTACCTAAAGGAGCGATTCACAAACAAGTCGAATACTATGCCTTTCTTTCGTTTGACTTCATTTTTTGGTTCCGCTTTTAAATATTCTTCTATTTACCACGCAGAAATGTAGAAAGTCAACTGATTTACATTCACGTTCAGGGGACGTTTGTTTTGATCTCATACATGAAGTACAGAAAAATTGTAATGTATGCTGCTGACCACTGGTAGACAGCTTAAGTCTACCCAGTCCCCCCTGTTATTAATGAGGTCAACGGTATGATCAAGTAGCAGAATTTGCCTTGAATTGATGAATATGGAACGAAAATTGTTTTTTCCTTTACTCATAGAAACTGCTCACAGCCTATACTTCCACTACAGAAACAAAGGCTCACAAAGGCTAAATGTAGCCTTATTCCTCCTCATTCACATTCCCAGAGGTTGGGGCAAACAGAGTTGTTTCTGGAAAGGGGAGTTAGCCAATCATGGAGAAGATGCACAAATCTCTGATTATCCTTTAGTTTTTATCAGGGAGAGTAGTTTTTATTTATCTCAATAAGCCCATCAAATGCTACAAGTAAATAATTTAATTCATAATTGAACTCTTTAGCACCCAATGGTAGGGCTCAGCACATAGCTTTATGGCTAATGGAAGGGTCTTCATTCCTTCTTAAGGAAATAAGATAATTTGACTTACTATTCCATTCCTTGAGAAAAAATTTACCTGTTGCTGCAATGAAAGACTTATAAAGTCATTAAACTGTTATTTTTTGTACCACAATCATTTGGCCATTTATTTGTTTTGGTGCTTAAAATAGTTTCTTTTGAGATAGAGAAGGTTTGTAAATTATGTACTTTTGATCTAGAGAGTACAATTTACTAAATACATATGAGAAAAAAGGGTTTTGCCTATTTTCTCTGCTTTTTAAAACTGATAAGTGAATTGTAGGATGTAAGTGATTTTTTTTTAGTTTACTCTGCCTTTGATTTTTTAGAACACTTTTGTATGATGTGTTGTAAGCAATACTTCAGACAAAAGCAGAACAAAACCATAACACAAACAACAGTCGCTACTATGAGAAGCAACACATCTAAGAGATAAACTTGAAAAAAGTACAAGTTGTCAGCTTCACTCCTTAAATGCAGTCCTGCATTGTTATGAAGCCCATATTCAATCCAGTCACAGGCCTCTTCAGTTGGTGTGACTCTCCTGTGATGAATCAATCTAGAAACTCTTTCAGCTTTTTCTTTATAACTGGAATTTCTGAGAACTTCAAGTATTGCATTTGTTACTGCATTTGGTGTTAAATTTTGCAAGTCCAGTATCACACCAATACCAGCCTCATGCACTTTCATAGCATTAGCTGGTTGGTCACCAAAGAGAGGTAAAACAACCATAGGTGTCCCATGATAAGTGCCCTCAAGTATACTGTTCAAGCCCCCGTGAGTGAAAAAGACCTTTGTAGCTGTATGTCCAAGAAGATCATTTTGTTCCATCCATGGTACAATTTTGATATTTTTGCTCAGGTTTTGAGGCAGTAAGCTCAACTCACCTTTATACTTCCATATAACTTTAGAAGGGACCTGCATGAGCCCTTTTGCAATGCTATCAACAAACTCCGGTTTGAAATTTGAAATGACAGTCCCAAATGAAACAACTACTAATTCTGTCAAGTCTCCATCAGAGATGAAACTTTCTTTGTCTGACGGAAGTGGTTTAGGCTTTTCCGGGAGTATGGGCCCAACCACTTTCACATGGGCTCCAAAAGGCCTTGGAAAATCTAAAGCAAAGTCGTTTGGAATTATTAACAATCCTGTGGCTCTGAATACTTCACTGAGACTAGAAAACTTACTGTCTTTGACATGAGTCCTCCACAAATCTTCAAAGGGTGGCATAAAAACAAACTCGTGCATAACATACCCTAAGATATACAACAACAGGTTTTGTAACCTTTCCAAAAATGACATTCTCTTTGGAAGTTTGACAGTTCCGTGCGGAACATAGGCCACGGGAGAAGGGAAATTGTGAATAAAACTCACATAGGGATCTACAAATCCGATGGGAGCCAAGTCAACGCGATTCACTTTCAGCAAGTCTGCCACTATAGCACAACATATACTTGTGATATCGCAAACAATCAAGTCTACCCGTCCCAAGCTTTTCAAGAGAGCTCTGTCATTCAGCAAATCCTCACACGTAGACTTCCAAAAATCATTTCTCTCGGTGATATTTAGCTTGCCTTCGGCTTCTTTTATTATCACTTTTTCCAAATCATTCCCATTTGTATGAGTGTCGTAAGATTTCACTGCAATGCCAGCCAAATTAGGTCCAATTTCATTCACTTGCCAGGCTGGTACAAGAAGACTGTATCTGTAACCTCTCCTAGTCAGCTCTCGTCCGATTTTGACGTAAACAAGTCCATGACTTGTTCCAATGCTTGGTATTCCAACGATATGACTATTAGAAGCATGGTTAAGAGTAACCAGACAACATAGCAAGGTTAGTACTGTAACAACCATGTTTTGAAATTATATTATGCAAGTCAGGTGACCCACAACTTGACACGCGCCAAATTTTGCATCACGCGATGAAAAGAATAATTCTTGCGTGACGACGGTTTGATAGCCTTAAATAGGTACCTAAAGCTAGAGTAGAAACGTTCAAAAGGAAAAGACCTTTTCCCTTTAAAAGGTTTGTATGGCTCTCGTATTCTTGATCTCGTCTAATCATTACTTCCTTCAAAACCCCACTCGCAAAGAGTTTTTAGTCTAGCACCAGTTATTCGGCTCACTAGTCACGCAACAGGGTAGTGGGCGGTTGCTCAGGAGACTGAGTT